AACAAAAATTGTTATAATAACCAATTGGTCAAAAGAGGGCATTATTCAGATAATCACTTTTATCCTGATAAAAATAAAATTAGGTTGCGTTCCTTGTGAAACTTTTTAAATTAATCATATGACACAAACATGATCCTGATCAAAGCATCCACAGAAAAACCACGTAAGGATGATGAATTTAATTATTTATCCATGTATAAATTAACCCTTCCACCTCAGTTACTGAATTTTACAAATGAGCAGGTAGTGAAAGAATAATACACCTAAACCAACTATTTCAGAAATTCAAGGAGAGTTGGTATTAGTTATTTCATCGATGATATCATTCATCATCTGCTTGAGGTGAAAAAGCATATGCACTATCACCTCTTTTTTTTCTTCACTACTGAAAATTGAGCCCAGGGGTCACACGTGCTAAACAAGTGCCCTATGACTGAGCTACATCTCCAGCCCTTTCAAACTTTTTTTTATAATTTTGAGGCAGGGTCTCACACCTCCAACCTAAGCTACACAAGTAAGCATATTATAAATGTAAATACCTTACCATGATGGAAAGAAAGCAGAAATATATTTTCTCAGTATGATGAGGAATCTTTTTCTTAAATGAAGTGCCTGCCTCATATTTGGGTGGAATATTTGAGACATTCATATTCGAATCAGGAATAAAATGGGGAGCTGCTTTTTCTCCTATTTAACATTTTTTAGAAAGGTGAATCAATGAAATATATTATAACAGATATAAGTTCCGGTAAGAAAAATGCAATTATAATTATTTAAAAATAATATCATTAGTCGGATATTTAGCTGAGTGGTTCCACCACCTGCGTTCGATCCCCAGAACCCCCTCAAAATATATATATTAGTGTAACTAGAAAAATAACTGAAATGATCAATTACAAGCTTATGGGATTAAAATAAAAGGTGTTGGACAATAAATATATACTAAATATATTTCATCGATGACCATTTATTAAATGTCCTATGTTGAAATAAAAATGTAACATTTACTATTGGAATAAAAATGTATGCTATAGAGGAATAATTTTCATATACAAAATGTGTGATGTGATGATATTAAGAAAGTTTATTGTATGATATAAAAATGTTTGAGAAGAGTATCATACTCCTTTCTTGAGGAATATGTTGTCCTATGTTTCTTACTGTAACTCCAATCAAAACTCCAGTAATATTTTTTGGGAGAACTGATTGAAATAGCGAATAAAAATGTAGGCTGAAAGAGCATCTGAGCATCTATTTGAGGAAATGAGAAGAAAGAATGATAAAGGGCCTTGCTTTACCACATAGTATAATTTAATCTAAAAAGAAGGTAAGCAAAACATTGTAACAAAACTTAAATGTAAGTAGAACAGAATAGATGATCTTTAAATGTTTTACTATGGATAAAATAAATTTGTGCTGATTCTGATCCCATAATGTACTGAGAAGAAAGGAAATACCAATAACCCTTTCTTTATAGAAATGTCCATATGAAGATGAATTATTTCCCTGCACCATAATAAATTTAAGGCAGATTGAAAGATGTGTTTAAAATCAAATCATGGGAGTTGGTAATACTTTCACGGGGAAACATTGTGGGCTCTTAGCATGGGTCTGGGAGTCCTGTTCGTCCTGAAAGCGTGATCCCCGCAAGGAGGCAAGTGGCTCCAAGAAGTGAGCCTAGGAAGGGTACGGTGTAAATTTCAGGGTAATGGTGAGAAAGAAGCAACGGATGAGAATAAGAAACCACAGAGTTGGAAAAACCTCAACATGGCATAGCCGGGGCAGCAAACTAACAGCATTTCAGGAGAATGTGGAGATTTTGAGCATCATCCGCTGTGGATGGTCCGGCTGAGCGCTGGTTTTAGCTCTGGTTTTCTGTGGAGGGAGAGCCCGGTTTTAGTAACGAAAGAGAACGTGGGCAGAGAGGAGCTGTAGGCAGAGTGCTGTCAACTCTGATGGAAGAAGCAGGAGGAAGCGGTAGCTGGAAGTGAAAGGGAGCCACAGGGTAGGTGTTTGGTGGGAGGGGACCTGCTGGAGGGAGGGGAGATTACCCAGAGCGGCAGGCTTGAGTGGTAGGGCAGATGAGGTATTTCTAGAAAGAATGATTCATCCAAATCAATGAAAAATAGAATTAAAGGGCGGAGACTCAGGAAGGCGGGTACCCGAGGCAGTGGGGGCTGTGTGCCCCTCCTCCCCACAGCCTTCAATTTGTTAACAAAATAGGAAAGAACACCAACAAATGAGTGGGAGGAGGATGAGGAGAGGCAGGAGGGGAGGTTTGGGGCTAAAGAGGGAGGGAAATTACGCAACAGTCATGCAGAAATACGAGGGAGCAAATCAACCAGAGAAAATACCAGGATTGAAGAGCACAGAGGACACATTTGAAGAGAAGGATCACGAACTGGAGGGGAGAGTAGGAGGCAACGTTTGGTTGAGAAGTATAATTGTGGAGAACGTGGAGAGCGGGGCTTAAGCAGTGAGCGGGAGACTGGCAATGTGTGGGGGGAGCAAGCGAAACGAGCATGCGAAGCAGGGATGCTACCAAAGGGCCACAGATTCCAAGCTGGTTTAAAAAGGGACGGCATGAGAGATAAGGCGTCAGTGTGAGCATCAGTGGTAAGATGAAAAGTGTTGAAGTGGTAAAAAGAACCGGGGAGAAAACGAATGGTGGTCAGGGAATAACATCCTCAAGATGGAGAATTGCAGAGGCGCAAGAAGCTACAGTTAAGGGTATGGAAGAATTAAATGTTATGGATGTTAAGATCACCAAGAATTATGATAGGTGTGGGAGGAGACAGAACGGAAGTGACACCGGGGAAAACCTCTTCAGGGAATAAGAGGCATGATCTGAGGGTTGGTAGGTGACTTTAATAAGCAGATGCAGTGGAAAAATAGCGAGGGTATGAGACTCAGAGGTGGTGCTGTGGAGGAGGAAAGGAAGAGGACACGGGGCCGACGCGGGGGGGTTAGGGACATCTGTCCTACCCTCAGGGTTAGGAAAATGCCAGAGAAAACAATGCTTACTGCGTACAGGGCCATGGGGTTGTAGCAACCTGCAGGCAGAAGGCCAGGAAAGATGAAGAGAACAGTAAGGGAACTAGGAACTGGGTGGGGATTTTGCTGATGACTGACCACAAGTTCCACAGGGTGGGTGAAAGGGTTTCAGAGATAAGGAGAGGCAGGAAACGGGGAGAGCGGAGTACAGAAAGGGGAGAGCAAGGTCTAGGGAGGAGCAGACACTCTGGAAACTGGAATTCCTTATGGTAATAGAAATACCAAGTGCAAAACACATGAGGATTCTGATCTTCCCAAGGCAGATAGTGGCAGAAGACAGCGCAGGGTGTTAGAGGGGAGAGAACAATGTAAGAGCAGCCTCAAATATAGGGGAAAAGGGTAAATTATGAGATTTCTAATAAAAGATCTTAAAGAATATCTCACAACACTCCTCATTTGAGAAACACAAGTTAAAAGATCACTGGATTCTATCTCAATTCACAGAGAAGGGCTATCATCAAGAAATCAACCAATGACAAGTGCTATGGGGAAAAAGGAACCCTTCTCCATTGCTGGTGGGAGTGCAGACTGGTACAAGCACTGTGGAAATCAGGATGGAGAGTTCTCAAAAAACCAAAAGTAGAGGCTCCGTTTGACCCAGCTGTGCGCACAAGAGTTAAAGGCATCATACCACAGTGATATATGCACACTGTTTTTATAGCAGCACAATTTATAATAGCTAAATATTAGAAATAGCCCACATGCCCATCAATAGTTGAATAGATAAAGAAAACATAATTTATATACAATGGAGTATTACTCTGCCACAAGGAAGGATAAACTTGAGTCACTTTTAGATGAATGGATGCACCTCAAGACCATAATGTTAAGTGAAATAAAGCAGGCACACAAGTTTGTTTCTCTCGTGTGACAAACCCAAAGGGAGGAAGAACATGTTCAAATGGGAAGGGAACAGGGAGGAGAGGGGAAAGGGAAGGAATGGAAAGTCGATTTTTAAAAAAGAGAATTGAGGGCCGGGGATGTAGCTCAGTGGTTCTGCCGCCTGCCTCGCAAGCTCAAGGACCCAAGTTCAATCCCCAGTGCAAAAAAAAAAAAAAAAATAAAAAAACCAAAAAAAAAAAAAAAAATAAAAAAACCAAAAAAAAAAAAAAAAATAAAAAAACCAAAAAAAAAAAAAAAAATAAAAAAACCAAAAAAAAAAAAAAAAATAAAAAAACCAAAAAAAAAAAAAAAAATAAAAAAACCAAAAAAAAAAAAAAAAAAAAAAAATCAAAAAGCCAAAAGCAAAAACAAAACAAAACAAAAAAATGGAAAAAAAGCTTTTAAAATCAGGGAAGGGAAGAAAGGTTGAATGAAGGGGGGGAAAATGGGAAAAAAGATGAAATAAGACATATTATGTACAGCGCCAAATTCCCTATGACTTTTTTACAGCAAAGGTGGCATGTACTAACAGAAATGTTTTTAAAAAGAGTTCCTAGAACAAATATGCTCTGATAAACAAATTTAAAAGGCAGAATATAAAGCTGCATCTATGATCAGCATGATGTAAGCCTTATTTGTAAACACATATATAAAATTGGTAGGAAATACCTAAAATATTATGTTTTATTTAGGTTGAATTTTAGGTATGGCTTTTATTTTTTCCTAATAGTTTTCATATAATTCTCAAAAAATTTTTTTTTAGAAAGCAACTTTTGGTTATAAATAGAAAATGAAACCTCACATAATTTTTAAACAATGCCGCTGGTAGTCTCCTAAGATGCTGTTATTTGATTTCTGGTTAAACAGTGGCATTTCCATTATTTTTAAAGTGTAGAACGTGAGTGGTCCTCCTCCTGCCTATGCTGTGTTTCCCATGAAACTACATCCTGGAAGACGGGCTGGGCAATGCGTGTGTGCGTGCGTGCGTGCGTGCGTGTGTGTGTGTGTGTGTGTGTAAAAATAAATCAGTGCAGGGCCCTCATCCAAGGACACTCAGCGCCCACCTGGCACACGGACGTCTCAGGGTCGCACCGGTCGCTGTGTCCGTGACACTGGCAGGGAACACAAGCGCCCAGGGTGGGTCCAGGGCTGCGGCCACCTGGTTCAGGACGCAGGCGATAAAATCCCGGTGAGCACGTCTGCAAGAAAGGAATCCAATGGGGACAGCCAAGTTAGGAATCTCGTTTCAGCAACACTTCGGTCTTCACTGGCTATAAAGACAGACTTTTTTCTCCGTGTGTGTTAGGGGCAGCACCACTTACAGACGCTAACGCCAGTTTTGCTGCCTCAGATGTCTGTGCTGGCCTCATTCTGCCCACAGACGCAGGCAGCCTCCCTGTAATCAGATTTTAGCCAAGGAAAGCTTTCATTTGCATCCACAGCTCTTAGCCGGAAAAAGCTTCAAATAGTCATTTTTTTTTTTAAACTTGAGAAAGAAGTTTATTTTTAACTAACATTTTCATATGGACCAAAGAGATAGCTCCAATGTCCCTGACAAACTAAAATCGACTCCTTCTGTGCCTGACGGAGAACTAGCCGATGTCCAATGATGAAACGTGGCAAAAAAATTAAATTAAAAAAATGCCACAGATGCATTATTTATATCAATGTAATTTAAAGATGATAGAAGGAAGAAATTCAAAATAGTAAAAGCCCTACATGTCTTAGGCCCATGAGGCCATCAAGAACACTATTTCGATCTTTTTTTTCTCTTCAGTTTTGCAGTAAAAACCTGAAAGCCCACAGAAAATTACCGGTGAAGCTGACAGATGCAAAATGAAGACTTTCATGTTCACTCAGGCTTTCTATGGAAATGTACCAGGACGTATCTGGCTTTCGGGAGCGAGGGCACAGTGCTCCCGGAGTGGCGCTGTGACCACACTTGGTCTGCTACAGCTCGGCCGGCAGTGCTTCATTTCTCTTCAGGAGCTGGGAACCAGCCCTTCCGACTTCACCAAAAATCACCCTGGCAGAGTAGGACATTGTTTTTCCACTTAAAAACCATGATACTATTGGTGAAAATGACACTGGACAAACAGGAAAGGAAGCAATATTGGACACAAACTTCCTACGGCCTCCATAGTCTTGTAGTTCTGGCCTAAGAGTAGAGCGGAAATACTTTAGAAAGAAACATATCAAGAGTCAGTACTCTCCCCTTGTTTATTTTGATTTGGGTAATGGGTACTTCAATTAAGCATTTAATTCATAGTTTCTCTGTTCTTACCAGCCTATAAGAAATTCTAATGAGATTTAATAACATCCCAGCTTTGAGCAAACCAATAAAAGAAACAGACTAGCATTCAAAATACCTTGTGGTTTCATTTGTCTGATGGTGGACTTAATCACATACTTTAATGAAGTTTACTTACAGTATTTAAAATCAAGCTTCATTTTTACCATTATCACAAAATAAGGTCTAGAAATTATAGTTGAATTCATTTAACCATAACTGGAAAAAAAATCCAACAGCAATCAAAGGTCTATTGAAAAGTGGCTCTCTGGATGCATTGCTGCAGTTCGTCAATAGGCTGACTATGGAATCAAACTGAATTTTACTGACATAGATTTGATCCTTGAATATCTTTCTAAGTATTCTGATTGTATCAGTGCACTTCCTTGAGGTCTGTGTGTACGTTCATTGCCATACACAAATGTGTCAGATTACACACTTTAAAAGGAAGTTTCCAGCTCCATTTTACATCTCAAACAGAAGTTTAATTGAGTCTTAGAAGAATAAAGAAGGTATTCTCTCCACAGAGGAATGGGATGAAGTTTCACATCAGGGACCAAGGTGTCAGTGTGCACTAAGGTACCATTTCCTGCAATTCACAGCATGGCTTCCGCAAGCGCCACTCTTCCCTGGACAGCAGCTTGGGGGAGGAGAAAAGCACTAGCAGGGGTGTCTGTGGCCTGGGCTCCTTCCAGTCGAGTTCCACGGAGGAATCTTCGCCTTTCCCGGAGGTCCTCATAGCAATGTGGGGAGCTTTTAAACACAGGGATGCTTGGCTGTAGCCCTAGAGATCCCGACTTCACTAATTCATCAGTAAAGAGTCAGGTGAGCGTTTGTTTCAGATCTCCTGGGAGGATCTAACGAACAGTCAGGGCTGAGATTCACAGGCTTCTCCATCTCTGATGCGGTGAATATGTGCATGTAAAAGGCAGACCAACTCCTGGGTAGGGGCACAACTGAACGGAAAATAGTTTTAAAAGTGGCTTTGTCGAAGGATGGGGCAAGTTATTGTTTGGGAGTAGAGTTTCCTCAACCCACAAATGAGAAAGTGCAGTAACTGATGATTTCTGAAGTTTCTTTCTAACATTTGTCCTGGTGCATTGTGTTTCTCAGGGTTAGTAAAGAAAGAAACTTCCATAATGCACTAAGTAGAAATTTGAAACACTTAAAAAAAATGAGCGACTTATTTCTTCTTAATACCTTATTTTTTGGATTTTTTTTTTTTTTGGTATTCTATGCTTTTTAAAATTTTTGAAGGCTTTTTTTTCTAAATACTACAATTTCCCTCTTTCAGTGAACTGGAGCAAAATTCATAGGAACAATTATGTTTGAATTGGAATTTAAAAAGCTACTTAAAAAAGCTCATCTAAAATTCTTTGTGGAACCTTATGGAGGATGAAAGAAAAGATAAATAATCCTTTTCTGAGTTCATTTCATCCATTTTTTCCTTTAACTCAGACTTTTCCAAAGTTCTCTTCACTTGTACTAAAATTATGCCTAGCTCAATTTTCTTCTGCTCTCCTTCTGTCTTTAATTTACTCTAATAATCCTCCGTCTCTTTGAAGGGTGGGGAGGGTAGAGGTGGGAGAATGGCGTGCGGCACTGCAGGCCCCTCGTGTCTCAGAGCTCAGAGGTAAGAACAGGACCTGCGCCAGAGCCGAGGAAAACACTGGCATCTTCTGGTGGGTTCTGCACTCAGGCAAAGTGACTGCGCTTCTTGCCGCACCCCCTACTGCTCATGCTTTTTGCAGGTTTTGAATACCATAGCCCTGCTGTCCTCTCTTGGAACACAGGGACCCGGAGTAACATAATAATTAGCCTAAGTTCCTCTATATTTGGGAAACAGACTTCTCTGTGTTCAGACTGTAGTTTTGCTGCTGCCTGGCTGCGTGGTCATGGGCAAGCTCTTTAGCCTCAATTTCCTCTTCTGTGAAATGGAGATCACGGGTCATACTCAATGGTGATAGTGTATGACAAAATACGCTTGAGATCGTTCCACATACAGCAAGCACTCAATATAGAATTGTTGTGTTGGTATAGGTTTGTCACAAGGATTGAATGGCATATTTAATGCTCAACATACAGCAAAGCAACATAGATTTCTCTATCCAACATTATCTTTTACATATAGCTGCTGTGGATAAACTAAAATAAAAGCAACTATGATTGTTCCAAATTGTGCACAGAAGGGAAATTATAACGTATGCCACTTACCCATACCACCTTCCTTGACGTGCACATGTAGGCAGTGTGCCACGTAACAAGATTTCTGTCACTTGAGACTTTACGTGGGATAGTGGAACCATAAGGTTATAATGCTTGGTGATGGCTTAGCCAGCTCAGCTTGTGTAAATCCACCCTAGTATGTTTACGTGATGATGTCACTGCCTAATGACACAGTTTAACAGTGCACAATCGTACAAGGTCAGTCTCCTAGGTACAACCAATGTGATAAAGGATACCTGAAAGATGTGCATGGGTAAGAGAACAAGTGTATTCCCACATTCTGCCTTTGGATTTTATGACTTCATAACAGATATAAATTGGGGATTTTCTGATTATTTCTAGGAGTTAGAAGATGGCAGGTATTTAAGTGGTGACCCAAGAGATACCAGCCACTTAACTGTGAGCCTGAAACCTGACTAACACATGGGAAGGGGCTGCAACTATCAGAACATGGCCTAAGGATCACTGCTGAATTGCTGATACCCACAGTATGGTTACAGGGAACAGCAAGCCTGCATATTTTCCATTTATAAGAAAGAAAGTCGTGCATATGAGTGGAGTCTGTATAGAACCTAAAACTACATTTAAACCTAACACAACCTAATGAGAAGGGCAGGTTAACCAAGTAAACTCTATGGCTGCAACATCAAGAAATCTAGTGAGCAAACAGTGTCCTTTACTTGACTTCTAAGTAATCTTGTTTCTTCTTCAAATCATAAATTGCATTAATTAAGCATTTCTAGAAGCAACATTTTTAAGGAAAAAAGCAACAATGTCACAACACTCTAGGTGACAGTCAAAGGCTAAGTATCTTTATAACAAACTATATTTTTAGTGGCAACCCATACCCAATTTTGTATACTTGCAACCATATTTTAAGTAAAAATATGAACAACTAGTAAATGCAACTTTCTCTATAATACCATACATTTGGTGAAAATATTACAAAGGCATTGCTTTGTGTATTTATAACTCAAAGCATATGTTACTGCAATAGCATGTATTATTTCAAAATTGTCCTTAGCTTTTGCTTTGATGATTAGATATTATGCCTAGATAATTGCACTTTAGAATCAAGATGAATTACAAAGAAGATGTATAATGGATTAGAAGCAATGGGTTGTGGAGAACACTTCAGGTATCTTATTATGAGAGATAAGACTTTGTCTTCATAATCTCTCCACTAATATTACTGTAATTATTAGCTGTAAATAGGAGCTTATGTGAAATTCACAGGACACAGGCTATGCTACCAATGCAGGTGATTGTACACATTCCTAATTTTTCTTGATTTTCTTTATTTAGCATTTTCTTTCTTTGTGCTAACTTATATTTTCATTTAATTGAATATTACTAAAACTAACAGTAAGGCCTACTTTAGAATACACTATTTGAAAAGCCTATTGATCACAATCAGTAGAGATTTTAACATTTGAAATCTGCAATGAAAATTAGATTGAGTTAAAATAACCCGATGCTTTTCCACCAGTGTTACTACTAAGCGGACAATATTATTTTAAGTACATATAGGAAAAGCAGAGCTATAACAACTTGCTCTTTGAGACAGCGCAGGGTCAACCTTGACTACTTACTGAATACCTTCCACAGCAAAATCATATTGCAGAGTCAGAGGATTTCCGAACTTCAAATCCAGCCTATCATTTTACAGATTGGACAACTCTATAGTAACGAAGGCCTAAAGCAATTAAGGGAATCGATCACGGTCTGAGAGTTAGTTTGCTGCACAGCCACAGTCCTTGCGATAAAAGTTCATCTCTTGTCTAGAAAAAGCTCCTGTCCTTTCTGTCTCTAACATTTTATCTTTCATGCTCACTGGGAAGTGAGCACAATATATATGTGCACATTACCTCAGTGTTTTAACTATAAGCTGTATGAGCATGCATGCGTTTTACATAAAAATTCATAGGTTTTATATAGAAATACTATACACACATACATACTGCATAGATATGTGTGTAAATGTATAAACAGATGAATGTGAGAGTTATTGTTAAATAATGAGGTGGGTTACTTGAGGATTTATTAGATCAAAGGGGACATATTCAAAGAAATATTATCCTCAGAGCAGTGACAAAAGAGGGTACAAAATGATTTCAAGGATCCCTCAAAAGATATTGGAGTTAGTCTATAAAACTGTGCTCTAAACAACAAGGAATCTGTATGATGAGCCCTCATTACAAGGGGCTTTCTCACACACATTTTTAGCTAAGTTAATGCTCGTGATGATTCTTTGGGTAAAATCCCTGAGGTTCAGCAGCAAGCGAGAGCAAGTACTCTGACCGAGCAACAGAGCTGGGCAGGATTCACCGAACGCAAATCCCTTTTTCTTTTCCTGATGTCAAGCTACCTCTGAGAAAACTTAGAGTCAATATTTTCAAATTGTACCACGTTTTGACCTGGCGTCATTACCTGCCTGCCACCCTTAACAAGATCCTATGAATCCCCTTACATGGTAAAATTCTTTAGAAATAGATCCACGTGTGGATATATCACTAGTTATTATTACAATAATATGAGCCTCAAACACCAACACAGACTACATGGCAGGTACCACGGCACGTGCTAACGTCCACAGCCTGGTCTTCCTGAGACTCTTAGGTTGTAAGTGAGGGAGATATCAATGATGTCCAGCTGCTATGCTGCGGGCACCAACCAGGTGACTACAGGCAAAGAATCCAGGCCGTGGGGCTGATGCAGGTGTTCCATGCCAGGTGAGACCAGAGGAATATGTAGCAAAGGGCCAAGAGTGGCATGGTCAGGGACCTGGTATCCGCCATCTCTATCTTAACGAGGGTTAGTGACCAGCCCTCGTACCTAGGGAAGCTGAGCTTCACACCAAAGCCAGCTTTCCCTTCGTTTCACATTCCTGTGTCCCTGATAGCTGGTCTTTGTGGAGAATGGCTTTCTGGAGATGAAGATCTAAAAAAGTTGCCCATTCTCAAGATTGTCAAAGGCATAAGTCAAAAGAAAGCACACACACACACACACACACACATCGCAGAAATCAGGTTTGAAATTGTCTGACTGAATGATAGTAGCACAGTGGAAACAAATTTATGCAATTTGGAGAAGCCTATGCTGAAGGGGACAGCCTGCCATTGAGTGAAGAAGTTTTGTCATGTTCCATATAAAAAGACTTTCAAAATCGAGTATAAACATATCTCATAATCACTACAGTTTAAATGCCTCTAACTGTTCATAAACGGTGCCAAGAAAATAGATCAGTTATAACAGACAGGCCTTTTGAAAACATTGTTATGTCCTGACTGCTCCACGTTTTTACAGATCTTTTAATTTTTTTTCAGATATTTCTTTTCAGTGGTGATGTGTATGACTAGGCAGAGGGAGCATCATCCTCTCTCCGCTGTGCCTCACTGTGAGCGATAGGATAAAACAGGTTGCGAGTATGTATGAAAAAGAAATGGGTCACAGCAGAGGCACATCTGGGCCCCTTTCCATCGGGCTCGGGGAAGCAATGGGGCGCAGCTGGCTTACCTCACAGGACAGGCCCTCGTAGCCAGAGGGACAATCGCACTTCTCTATGAGGTCAGCAGGAGGAGTCACTGCTGCCGTCTGTCCTGGCTGGGCCACCTCCATTGAGATTTCAGAAACCCTGAAAACAGCAAGTGCATACTTAGGTGAGCACCTCGCACACATTCAGTGCCACAAGTAGAATCACTCAAGCGGGTTCCATTATTAAGTTGTTTTTAGAGTTTTTTTTTTTTAGTACCCCAGATCGAAATTAGGACCTTGCACTTGTGAAGCAGGAGGCAGAACCACTGAACTAAACTCTCCGCCCTGGTTATTTTTAATTAACGCATAATAACCATAGACATTTAGGAAGATAACAGTGCAATGTCTTGGTATACACGTCCATTGTGGAAAGACTAAATCAAGTAATGTGTATGTTGTTCTGAACCTGCTTAAAGTCCAGGGATTCTTATGCCTCGTCTGTCCCTATAATTGCATCTTTCTCTTCTTTAAAGATTGAGATTACACATTAGCAGAACAGGTACACAAATCATAAGGAGTTTAGCAAATCGGATGTCAGCTCTCCTGGTGAGAAGTTATTATAAAGATTTTTTTCCTTATTTTTAAAACTGTGAGTGGCTGCAGGTAGACATGGCCAATTAACCAGACATTTATATTGTTTCACACAGACAACCCAAGGTCATTCTCTGTTAGAATAACTCCCGTGGTCACTAGTGAAATTGCTTTTAATTTACTACTGTCCCCAATTTTTCCCTCTCAAGCCTCTGAATGTCCTTTCAAGAACTTTAGAAAATCACCTAGAAACCAAAGCTAGAGAATGGCCTCATAATATCCAATGCTTTCTGAGGATAAAGAACCCTTCAAATTAATATTTTATTAAGCTTGCTAAATAAATCCTTCAGGTGATTTAATTCACCCTTGCCATTGGTGGAAAAGTCATTATAATTGAAAAAAAATTCACAGTGCAACTGTTGATAGCCTATTTATTTATTTATTTATTTTTTTGCTACTGGGGATCAAACTTGGGGTCTTGTGCTTGTGAGGCAGGCAGCAGCACCACTGAGCTAAATCCCAGGCCTGTTAGCTTTTTTATTAATTTGAAATTACACACTAAAAATATATGCAGTCCATAAAGTCAGACTATTTCATGATCAACTTAACTGGTAACATGAAAATGTTCTGCAAATAAACTCTCAAATGAGACCATGAATAGTTTTGCTTCAATGAAAGGCGCCTCCAATAGGTTATAAAAGACATCTCCAGCGGTTAAGCACAAGCTTCACAACAAGCACAGATAAGCTTTACTGAATTAGGAATGCACGCTATGGTTCACTAGCATTGTAATTGGCACCTGAAGATCAGCCAGCCTCTATGAAACACACATGCAGCCTTAATCCTGATTCCCCGTCCCTCCCTGACCCTTCGAGTGCATGGGCAGATAGTAAGTGGTCCACAAACCATTCTTCTCTGATAAGGAAGACCCCATCTTTCTGTTTCCCCGGTGTTGTTGACAAGCCCCCTCCCTCTGCCATCTGCATGACATCTTACAGCCATAGAAGCAAGTAGCACCCTCTTGTCATCTTTGTTTTGCACACATACACACACAGCAGACCAGCAAGTGTTTAGAAATCAAATTAAGAAGTCTGAGGAGTTATCTCAGTGGTCCCACCACCTGCCTTGCACAAGCAAGGTCCCCAGTTTGATCCCCAGTACCGAAAAGAAATTTTTAAAAAATCAAGTGAGGGTGGAATAGTGGTAACAATGTGCATCTCTGGATTCACAATTTTTCTCAGGAGACTTGAGGAGGGTAAAGGTGAGGGAGGGTGAGTCAGATGGAAGAGCAACAAGAGCAACAGCTCTGCTTGCTTCAGAGAGAGGACTTCTATTTAAATGATTACTAAATCATGAAGATAAACAGTAGAAGACAAGTAAGAATGAAAATGCTAGGATTGATAAAAAAGTTCACAATTTTCAACAACATGTATAACTCTTAACTCTTTGGTTCTGTTTAAAGTTATACAATAATAGAAATGTGAGGCTCTGTTTAAATTATTTCAGAAGGACTATTTAAACTTTTTGAAAATCTTTGTCATGAGTCCACTGTCTTACAATAGCAAGTGCTTGTTACTTCTTGCTTCTGCTACACTATGACTGAAGTTTTTATGGAGCTTAGAAAGATTGATTTTCCCTTGAAGTTTCAGAACATGAGCACTTAAATAGAAGGATTTCATTAGGTAAAGATATGCGGCAGAGTGTGAGAAGAGAAAGAGACGGGTCAACAAGACAAAATGTCACAGCGTAGGAGGGTGCAACTGGTGAAAAGGCCAAAGAGAATACGATGAAACTGAATGAAAACATTCTTTCTACTAATAAAAGGTTGTCTCTGTTAGCTACCCAAAATTTATTGACTTTTGGAACAATTTGCAAAATAATCTATTTGCATATCTAAAACACGCAAATCCGCTTTGGCTTTTACCACGTAATGTACATTTGATATCCTCCAATAATTAACATTATAGCAGAGATCATTTTTCAGCACGTTTTTATGATTGCACGTGAAAATAAACTGCTACAGTAGGAAGCATGACAAAGCATAAAGAAAGGAAGAATGGGACACGGTGATTATATGCTACTGTTTTCCATGAATATAAATTACAGAAAGAAGGAATGTCACAGTGTCAAACATTAAAGGATGACTGTTTGAAAGAGAAGTAATTATGTTTATAAATTATGGGAAAGAGAGTTGTAATGAAGAAACGATTAAAATCATAGATATATAGAGAGAATAACTTACAAGATAGCCAGAAGAGTCCAACAAATGAGTGCACATGGTCTGTTTCTTTAATGGAAGGAAAAATGTACCCGGTGAGGCACAGACACAGATAAGTCTCATATAACTGATGCAGAAATTTGAGTTAAGTTCCTACAAGAGTATCAGTTTCTCTCATGTGTTTTTCTGTTATGTTCTGTAAGTCTGTGGAATCAATATATGCTGCTAAAAGAGTATTATATGATAAATTAGTAGACCAGGCCAGGAAAATAAAGCAAAGCATTTATGAAAGCTTCAATGGTTGAATTAATGAATCCAAAAACCCTGCCTTTCAAATATTTATACTGCACTAAGCACTGAATATAACCAAAACACTTTTCTTTTCATGGAGAACATCCATATTGCTTTTTTGATTGAACTAGGGATTTTTGGTAAGAGAATAAATCAAAGACCAAAATTCACGTTCTAATCTGTATTCCTTATACAGAGACTATGTCTGCCCCAGGTCTCCCCTGGAACTGGTATTACTAATGTCACTAGGGTGGTCCTACGGGTCAGTGTAAATATGTAAATATGCCTCATTTTAATTGGCCTCTTTTGGGTTGTATGAAAACCCTGAATATTTCCATGAATATTCCCCATGGCTTGGTTTCTAAAACATGTTATTCCTGAGATTCTTCTGTGTGCTTTTACCCATTGTGACCTTCAGTTACCTTGCATCATGGTCCACTGTGCCAGCAACCATGTTACATAGATCTGGAGTGAACAGAGGAGAGCACTCATGGCTGGAAGAGACTGGACTACCTTTGCCTTACTGGGTGTCCTGATAACTGAAGGAGGCCACTTCCTCAGTAATCTTGTAGCATGTTTATAACAGAGCAGTTACTTACATCAAACCGCGGTACGCATTTCCTTGAGGTTTTTTTTTTTGTACCAGGGATTGAACTCCGGTCCTTGCACTTGCAAGGCAGGCCACCAACCGCTGAGCTAAATCCTCGCCCATTTTTCCGTTTTTTTTTTTTTCCTTGAGTTTTTAACTGACATCTTAAACTCACCATGTCTAAGGTGAGTTCAGCATTTTCCCCCTTTAGTTGTGCTGTTTTCCTTTCTTGGTGAATAGCTGTAGTTTCTATCTGGTGACCTGGAAGCCACCCTTGGCTTCTTTTTGTCATTGCACTCCGAAGCCAATTACTTCCAAATCTTTCTTATCTGATGTCTTACTAAGCTTGCCTATAGAAACTAGATTGAGACCTGATTTGAATATTTTCTGCCCTGGTTTACCTGCTTTGTCGCATGATATTTCCATAGGTAGCCTTGATGAGAAGATAATGGATATCATACAGTGTATCCATGAAGTCTTCATGGCTCACAGTTCTACTGATTCGAGGATCATCACCATAATATTTCCATTCTTTCTGTTAACAAGAGGAGAAACCACTTCGATAAAGTTGAACACAAGCCATTGGCATCTTCGCACACAAACAACTAATAACTTTACCTCTGTCATTTCAATTTCATGCCTTGTCAGTTGACCATTGAGGGGTGCAGCCATATGTCTGACGATTATTCTAGCACGAGGAGAACCACCGCGAATGATGACTTGAGGTTTATATGTCGAGAATCCTGTCTCTTCTCGAGCTTCAAAATAGATTGCATACTTGAGTTTGCCCCCATAGGCCATCAGCTGACAAAAGAAAAGAAACGGTGATGATTTAGATAAATCTCGGAATGGTGTGATTCCTAAGATGCATTTCACTTCATTCTCACATGACTTCAGAATTTGTCCTACCTTCCTTCCTTCAAATTGTTCTGGGAGTTTCCAATAAAAAGGCTCCAACTGGAGATCCTGTCTCACCAACTTCATGTCTGCAACAATCTCTGGGGGTTGGGAAGCGATGCCTTTGGTGGTCGTGTGCTGCAGCACCTCGTCCACCAGGGGCAGAATGGTCTGCTCTGCTGCTAGAGTCACCTGCACGGAGTCCAAGATGGCAGAGTGAGCATAGTTTCTTGGGCAACCCTTTAAGACAGCCTGTGGATCACATGTCCATTTGGAGTGTTCCACTCGTCCTAAGGAGGAGGTATGTTCACAACAAAGAGGGCTACCACCGAGTAGGTGAGAACAGGACAGGATACATCCCTTGCAAAAGTTTGCATGAGAAAAGCCACATGTGAAAAACAAAACCTCTTGCAGTAATAAAAATCAAATTTAAAAGAGCCAAAGGACAATTAAAGTAAAAATGAAAGTGTTTCCACTTAAGGTTGGATGACCTCCTAGGGCCAGTTGAGATAAATGCAACACATTCCGGTTTTCCTTGCAGTGTTTGAATGTATTGACATGTAACCTCTGGTACCCTCATTCCTCAGAATGCAGCTCCCTTCTGTGCCAAAGCATCATGCCTCCTCGACGGTGTTTCCTTTTTTCCCATGGCATCTATTTCCTTATCAACCAAAAAAATGAACTATCTTTAAGGAAGAATTATACAAGAAAAGGCATTTTCTCCAACAGCCTCATGGCACACAGCCTCTTAGCATTTCTGATTGTGCACAAGGGGAAAGCTTACTTAAATGCTTTACCGTTTCCTACTACCCCTCCGGGCCAACCTAAAAGATGCCAGCAGGGAGAAACATGGCTCAGCAGCTCCTTACTCACCCGTGTACGGATGAGGCCTTTGGCTTCTGAGCACTGACTTGTAGCACCGAAGCAATAGCAACTGCTGCAGCCACGTGGGTTCCTGGCATCCAGACCAAAGTGGCCTGACTGGCACCTGTCACAGTGGATGCCTTCCACGTTCACCTGATGAGAGAAGAGAGCCCCATAGAGTTCTCGGCCAGGTTATGGGGAAAATCCACTTACAAATGAATAAGCAGAACACATTTCTACTTTAATTAAAGTAAAGCAAGGTTTGGACTCACCTCTCCAGTGGCACACATAGCTAAGCTCGCTGTTAGGGTTTCATGGGTTTTCCAGAGTATTTAGTTCACAAATACACTTATGACAATGGGTACTGTATGTTGCTTTTAAACCTAAATGGCACATCTCCTACAATTTTTCTATGGGCAACGTGAAGCCCTTAGGAGAATTTAAAAAGCCACATAAAAATATTGCTAGACAGTGGTACTATACCAAGTTGTTAAGAAAACCAGGCTGGAGGTTAATAATGTATATTTATGTGGTTATTATAACATAATATATATGCATATATAGAGCATTGTGAAATAGAAAACCATAATTATAACATGTGATAATGTGGCATTGGACTCTGTTTTGACTGGGGTTCACGGCAGAAATTATTATTTTTCTAATATTTCTAATTATTTTCCTCAAAGACTATTAACAACCATGCCCTGGATTTCAGCTGTCTTTATCCTCTGCTCCTCTCTGCATAGATTTTATCTTAAAAACATATCTTTGACAAAGTTTTAACTGCATTTGTTCTGGGACTGTCTGCTCAGAGGTTCAGAAGGGGGAAAATCCCCTCTTGCCCTCTTTAATTGGCTGTTTTTCTGCATCATTTAGCAATATTAACGAGGGCTGAAATCTGCACATACTCAGTTTATAATGTCATTTTTATATGTGATGAAATTTTAGTGAACCTCCACAGTAGTAAATATATTTTTTAATGTACGGTGATTGCAGGTTAATTTCAGGAGGGATGTCTTTTCAGAAGCCATATTGTTCAGCTGTGATTTTCTCTGACAGCACTTAAAGTAGTAGTCTTCCCTGGCCCACTCCCCACGTTTTTTCTTGTTTAACAAAGGAAAATAGAAAGAAAAACAATTTCACTGCACGATTGAAAATATATGTCCTGTTTCATGCTAGAAAAACAGTATGGGCTGAAAATAAGTTCTTAACAAGCAGAGCTTATTTTATTTGCGTGCCTGTGAACATATATCAGGGAAAACTGTGTCGGGCAATGAGCTTGTATTTGTGCAGCCTAATGAAGCAGGAATAATGAACAGTGAATGAAGCAAAAACTGAGAAATGGAATTGGAACTGAGGGGACTTTGCCTTGCTGAATTTGGGCTGCATTTACCTTGCACGTGCACTGCCCAGTTGGATCGCTGCAGGAGCATATTTTAGTCTCGGAGTCACAGGTGGCAGCCTCCGTGCCCGGCAGGAAGCAATCACAGAGGACGCAGTGAGGATAGCTCCAGTGGCCGTGCGTGCAGGCCGTACATTGTACTCCGGAGAACTGTGGACGGCAGTCACACTGGCCTGTGTTTATGTTGCACTGCAAATGCAGCGACCCCACTGTGCTGCAGTTACAAGCCTAGGGTGGAAAGAAAAACAGCAACCATCACTACAGCTTCACAGAAAAGATCTTGAAATTTTAATCCTAATGATGCTAAGCTTCTATTAACCCATATTAATCACGTAGCTATTATGTGCTTTGTACTATTTTAGTTTCGTCTCGTGGGAGACATCAGTGAACATAAACATTAAAATTGCTTCATGCACTGAAGACAACAGATGACTATCCAGAAGCCAGAACACTATATGAAGGAGAAAAAAAGGGTTGTATTTTTCTGTCTTTTCATGAAAGGGAGGGGTGGGTTATGACTTTTGTTCAAGTACTTTTCGTTTCAAGGATTAAAGTGTAGATAAGTCCGTTCTACCTCCTTACTTAATGTAACATTTTAAGCTCTATGGAGATATCAACTATGTCTGATGGAGACCAGTAAGTATGTAAATATGATGCTATAACATAAGCAAGAAGCACAAAATGCTGTGAGAACATATAAGGAGAAGTGAACCAGAGAACAGGACTCCAGGGAGAGCCCAGAGCACTGATACCTAGCACATTGGCTTTTGATGTTTAGTTCATTGACAGTCTCAATTTGCAATGCTTTGCTAGTAACCTTTGATCTTTACCTTACATGTGCATACGATTTTCTTTTTATTTATGTAATACAAATTTTTGCTACAAGTTTTAAATATCAGAGCAGTCTTTTTTCTCCTTATGGATTTACTGGAATATAGAGTTCTTTCAGTTAGAAAACAATTGTTCTTTTGATTCATATCTAAGATTGTTCAGATTTGTCTCTGGTTTTATACCTGTTCTATTTTTATTCATCTTATTCTTTAGAATCAACCATAATTCTTTTTTTCCCACAATTCTTGCAATATAGCACTCCTGTCTGCCTGCCAAATTTATAATACTATAATGTTTTCTAATCCTTTTCCTTGCTTTACCTTTCTTGCGATGGTTTTGTTTGCATTTGGTTCTCTATTTTATATCTCCTGTTTTAGTGAAAAATGTATGGCATAGGTGTACCACCAATGTATATTTTAATTACACTCTTAATTTGGCTGCTTTTAAATAATTTCTTAATTTCATCATACTCATTTTCAATTTCTGTTCATCTAGCTGTTTTGTTCTACTAAAAAGGTGAGAGACTGATACAATCTGAAGACAAACCAGAGTATATTGTTTGTTTTATATTCTTCTTTTAAAGATTTCTGCTCTTGATTTCCAGAGTTCATATCTTCTTCAAATTTACTGAAAAAACCAAGTGAACTTCTACAGTGTCACTGGGAACTTTGGAGTCTATCATTTTTTTAGGCCAATGTATGGTTTCCTGGCCCCAAATCCACCCTGCGGGAGACCCACAGACACTGCTCCATGACCAGGAGTGGGATGCGAGGCATACTCAACAGGGACCTCAGCAGGACTTCACTCCATGTTGCTTCTTAGGACAGTTGCTCTTGTACCCTCCAAAGTGGAGGGCAGCCTCAGTGGACCAGCTCTGACCCCCAAACTCTGGCACATTACTTTCTGTTTTGTACTCAGCGGGTTACTGTACATCCTCCTCTAAGACATGCTAATGTCATCCTTCTTGAGGTGGGAAAAGGAGGTTGCTTTCTCTTAGCTCTTGGTTCCTTCAAGGCCACCCTGTCTTAGCCTACGGTGGTAACTACTCTTTTGCACTTGCTCTTTGAAGGACCTGTAGCTCTTTAATCCTCTTTTAGTAACTAATGGCTAATGAGACAGTTGATAATTCTTTATATTTCACCTTTCCTGCTAAATAAACTGTACGGTTCCTGTCTCCCAGGTGGATCCTGACTTGGTACCCAGGTGGGTTTGATCTCTCTTCTTGTCTGATTTCCACTGAATAGCGTTTATACTTTATCTGTGGCCTTAATCTTTCTGGAGCTGTTCCATTGTTCTCCTTGGAAAAAGACCTGAATCTGACTCTTACTTCTCCATCAACGTTATTTTTAAGTCCACTGGCGCTAGGTATCCCTGCTTCTGTTCCTACTATTTGTGACCTGCTAATCAGGCTAGTCGTTCTAGGATATGATGTAAAATTGCCACTTTTTCTTCCACTGTCTCTTACTGCCCATATGATTGGTGGAAAATCTTCTTAGACTGATATTAAAACAATCATGTCTTATTTTTACTGTTTTGAAAAGGAGGTATTTTTCTTCCTGTTCATTGATACATAGTAAAAAGGATGCTGTTAGGGACTGCTACTAGAAGTTATTTTAAATACAAAGGTCCAAAATGTGATTATTTATTATGCATTGGAAACATGTTCATAGTGTCCCAGGCATGGAATAATCCAATCCTGTAAAACATCATATACAAAATGAAATTTCCAAATTAAGATAATTTATTTACTCAAAATTTTTTTGCCAATTATCTTGAGTATGTATTGATTCAAAAAATATGGGCCATAATGAGAAACAAATTATGCTATGGTATGGAAAACTATAATCATGTAATAAAGTTTAAAATATTCACTGAGAAATCTTTAAGTAACAAAAAAATTGAAAATGTCTGCTACCCAATTATTGTTCAAAATGGAAGCACTGTCTCTTGAGGAATGGGTGACAATACAAATAGATGTTGGGATCTGTTCAATTCAGAAGGTTTATTTAGGTAGTTATCCTGAGGAATAAATGAGACCATTAGCTGTATGTTTAGATAGCACTACAGCCAGCATCAAACTTAAACCATAATCTGATAGAATGTTGGTTTAGCAATAGAGGATTTATTCACTATTCCTCTGCTAGTGAAAAATGGTTGGCATTGTATTCTACTTCAACAGCACCTCAGATGCTGTGTGTACTTACGCCTTAGTATATAGAAATTATCCACAACATGAACAGAGAGAAGCCATGCATCTTACAATTACTACTTTTATATTATAGTCACCCAAGCTTTTAAAAATATTAGAATATATGCTTATACATAAATTATGAAGGTTACATGAACTTAGGGAATTCTTCATAATAGTGAAATGTGTGGCTATTCAAAAATTCAGATTTTTAGCCGGTCATGGTGGTGCATGCCTGTAATCCCAGCAATCAGGAGGCTGAAGCAGGAGGATCGCTGTGAGTTCGAGACCAGCCTCGACTACATAGCGAGTTCCAGGTCAGTCTCAACTACATGGTGAGACCCTGTCTCAAAAAACAAATCAAAACAAACAAACAAAAAACCCAAAATTCAGATTTTTAATAATCAGTGTAGGAAAACATTCTTTAATCAACTTCAACCAGTATGAAATAACCACATTTTTGTAGAGACTTAAACTGCTCCTAATTTATTTCCTCAACATTAGGTATAAGCTTTAATTTCAAGAGTTTCATTAGATTTTGGTCATATCACAGGATTTTGTGGATAGAAAGAGATCTGTTTCCCCATGTCTTAGTCCATGAATCCAAGTGACTGACAGAGGGGATGCCTGAATCTGAAGTTGAAATGTGAACCATGAGCCGGGGAACATCAGGGCCCGGTTTATTTTGTTTATTTTCATTAGAAGCATTTGAAATTCTTGATAAGTTTTTGTTTTGTTTCCTGAAAAACTATGAAAACAAAACTATGACATTTCGAACTTAATGTCTCAGGCATCAGAAAAATAAGTATCCTGTCTAGTTTTTATGTAATTGGTCACATGACTAATTGAAGGCAGATTTCGGAACTGTTTTAAAGTCACAAGTACTCTTATTCTCTTCCAAGTCTGTGTATCCTAAGCAAGTGCTCGGATGTTTTATCAAATACATAAAGAAGGCTGTAGTTTGCAGTACCATGTGTGTTTGGCAGATAAAACAACCTTCCTCTTTACAGTGTATTTAGCATAGGCCAAAGAGGCCGCACATGGCCATTACGTTTCTACATTTTCTAAACTCAGTATTACTGATTAGAACGACTCCCATCCACACAAATGATGTCTTTACCTACTGCTCTTAAATTTAATGGAAGTACATCAGAGTCAAATCTTGACTCTCGTATTATATTTAACATTGAGGACTGTTCTCTTCTTTGTGAGCCATCTCTTAGTTTTTAGCACCTATAGGGTTTATTTCCACTATTTTAAGCTTACAAGCCATAAGACAGAACAACAAAATCAGATCAAAACACTACTTTTTTTTCAGACATTGGATAAAAGAAAGCACAGAACTGAGTGAGGAAACCAAATAAAGTCCAGCGCTAGAACTGAGTTGACAGAGAAAGCATGGAGTGTGGAGAAAATAAAGCAACTACAGTTCAAAAAATAAGCAAGTAAAAGAAGTTTGATAGTGAAATGATTCCAGAGATGTGCAGAAGAGGTCCCTGAAGTCTTTGGCTGAATGCTGATATATACATATAAGAGATGGAGTTCTATATGGTTGGTGAAAATGAAACATCAAAAGGCCCTAGACCTCACAGAAACGTTGGAGCAATTTATACTCCTAACAGTCAGTGCGGAGAGGCAGAGCGATGACTCCAGTAATGTTCTCAGAAGAGTCACACCAATAGTGCGGCTAACTGGTGCATAGAATCGAAGTTTTCCTTGCACTCTCTCTAATCAAACAACAAAGCGAGATTCAAAGGGATCTAAGTGGTCTATGAGCATCAAACTGCCTGACGGATAAAGTTCAACACTTTCTATGGGAAAACAACAGGGCTATGGACGTCACTCAGTGGTAGAGCACTTGTCTAGTGTACGTGAGGGCCCGGGTTCAATGTCACCAATATTATAAAAACTGTTTTTTTAAAAAAGGAATACAACAAAACCCTATTTACAACAAAAATAAATGTACATTGTCTAGTATTCAGTAAATTACAATTGGTAAGTCACACATTTTAATTACTGAACAGTTCCTCTGGTGTGAAAAGCTAAAAGTGTCAATGAGGGTCAAAATGTATAATTGATAGTGTGAAATAGGAAGAAAAGGGCTAAAAGAGTGGAAGGGGTAGGGGAAAGGTAAAAAGGGAGAAGAAAAAAATACGTGAAAAGGCAAAACATGGAAACAATGTCTTTGTAAACAGGGAAGCTGGAGCGG